AGCCATTTTTTCTCAGAGTGTCCTTAACTGTCCTTATTACCTGAACACTTGGCTTGGTGTGCCCCAGTCGGGAGCCACCACATGGGTGTGCCAGCCTGACATGATCTCTGTTCATAGGGCTGAGCTGTAGAGGTAAGAGATCACAGAGTTCATCAGGAGTAGTTTACAATCATCTTTCAGTTAACAAACACTGCTGCAGCACACAGTGATAGGTATTTTCTTTTTAAACCAGCACAGCATAGCAAAAGGGCACATGCAGCTAGTTACACCATCCTGGCTGCAAACTGGCCGTGTCTTGAAATGCTCTACACACTAAAAATTCTTGTCTCTGTCTCAGCCAGTTCCTGTCACCTCCTCAGCCATTTCTGTCCCCCATGCTTGTGCATTCTTTATGTTCCTCTGCAGACAGCACTGAGTTTCTGCCTGTCCAGTGTTCTTAGTGCCACTGTAACTGTCTTTTCCTTGGTGAAGGAATGCTACAGTATTACAGGAAACACAGCAGTAATTCCTGCAAAGCACTGCTAAATAGAATAAGGAGACACCAGTGCTGGTACAGCAGAAATACCTTCTAGATTTACATGTTTTCCAACAGTGAGCCTCAAACTAGTTACAGAAAACTGCCAGGTAGTAGTGGACACATCAGGCTTTGCTCTTTGTCTTCCCTGCCCTCAGCCTCTCCCCATTAGCCCAGCCTGTGCTGGGGATCTTCAGTGTATGCTCAGCGAGGGTCCTTGGCTCCTTCATCCCATGTCTTTGGCCTGCAGTTCCAGGTTTACCTCTGTCCTTCCCTTGCTGCGAGGCTTTTGAAGAAGCACAGTGAGGCCTTGCTTCCAGCTGAGCCTTCTGTGTTGTGTCAGGTGTTCTCAGGCTGTCAGGGTCATATATTGATCTATATAGTTTTATTAATGTAAGTTTTGATTTTTGCCTGAGGATTTTATCAGCAGGCAGTGGGGAACAGAACCCGCTGTCTCTGCACAGGATGAGCTCTCGTCTTGTGTTTGGGTTGGTGGAATGGTACCATTTTCTGGAATGATAGTTTGGTGGAATGGTACCTTTTCTGCCTGCAGCAGGAGTGACTCAGATGTCTGGTATAAGAGCCTCAGTCAAGGGACAAGGTGGCCAGGAGGAGAGGGGGTGTGACCTATGATATGGGTGCTTTACCCCCTCTTCATTTCCCTGCTGGTCAACCAAGTATTTTGCTCCCATTTTACACTGGTTTGGCTCTCTAGAGTGGAATTGCAAAATATTTTTAATACCTTTTTAGTGCGACCATGTGGGACAATCAAAGAGGGAAAATACAGAACTGTGATGTTTGAGGTGTGGTCCTGATTGTAGGAGATGCCTCTTGGAGTTGTACAAGGCACTGAGAGAGTGCCTGATAACTGTACTCTGTGTGTGTGATGGTGCTGTCAGGGGAAGTGACTGACAGGAGGTAGCACAGGGATCCCAGCACCTGCTGTGAAAAGGTGACAGGCACAGCCATGGACACAGATGTCCTTCCCTTGCTACTGAGGCACAGAGATTTTTCTTCCTGAGCATTTGAGGTGAGGTTTATGACACATTAAAATGAATTAATGCTTATCTGAGTCACAGGCTGTGCAAAACACAGAGGGGGAAGAGCTCTGAAAACAAAATCTTCAGAGCTGAAGTTCCCATCCTTACCCTGTACCTCTAAATTGCCTCTGTGGGGATCAGGGGACCACCCTAGGCCAGTAGGTACTTCAGAAAGCAGTGGATGTTTCCAGCCTCTTAGCCGAGCGTGCTGCAGCTGATGAATGCTGCTCCTTTGGAGCTGCTTCTGGAACACTGTGGATTTCATGGCATTTCTCTCGTGCTGCCTGTCACTGAAATGGATGCTTTGTGTTGCTCTGGGATTGAGGAAGGCCCAGATCTTGGGAGAGTTGGGTTTGGTGGGAGCTCTGCCTTCACCCCTCTGTGGCCTCTGCTAATCCCAGAGGTCACTGAACCCTCAGTGTCTTGTGTTGATGTTGGATTCTGCAGTGTCGAGTCGATGTTGTTTATACCATAGCCTTTGTTTTCTTGTATCCATCCTTGGATGTGACTCAAGGGTTTTTTTACTCCAGCAGATGATGATTTAACCAGAGAGTTGGCCTTTTCTCTAAACCTTCATGGCACTCCCTGAGGCTTGTGTTGAAAACCTGATACCTGTTTACTTCTCCTGGGTGTCAGATCCCCTGAGGGTGGTGGTTGAGGCGTGGGCAGCTTATTCTTCTCTGTAGCTGCTCTCAGCTCTGCCTCAGGCTGGCATGGAAGAGCTGGACTCAGATAAGCAGGAGGGGAGGAGGAGCAGTCTGTTGCTGTAGCTCAGCTCATGGTGTGCTTGTCCTTCAGTGACCCCAAGTGTGTCTGTCAGCCTGTGAAATGGCATGGGGAAGATTCATGGCTCCCTTCAGCACAGCCAGTCGTGAGGAGTTACACTTTATGTCATTATAGGTGTCAAATCAGCCTTGCTGGCTGCTCTTTCAGCTGTGGAGGTGGGGAGTGGTTTTATTGCTGATTTCCAGCCCCCAGCAATTCCTCAGCTTTCTCAATGTTGTTTTTTAGAGGGAGATCATCTCGTTAATTCATCAGAGTGTTTTGCTGTTGTTGTTTGTTTACTGCTTTGATTCTTCTAGATAACTGTGTAGCAAAGCAGGGCTGCAGGGACAGTCCCTGGGTTGGGCAGGGTCGCTCCCCTGAGGCAGTGCAGACTGTGCTGGCAGAGGAGCTGCCTGTTTGGCAGGGGTTGGAATGAAAGCTTAATGCTTTGCTTTTCTTCCCTCAGGCACCTCAAGGATGTGATCCTGCTGACAGCTATAGTCCAAGTGCTGAGCTGCTTCTCGCTCTACGTCTGGTACTTCTGGCTCTTGGTATGCCCCAGCCCCTGCTGTTTTCCATCTTGCTCTGTATTGTTGCTGTCTTTTTCTGTCGTCAGCATGGAGGACATTATTTATCCATTTCATTTCAGTGTCCTGTTTCAGGCCTGAACTATTTTCTGATATGTTTTTTAATCTCCTTGTCGAATATTGTTTAAAAATGAGACTGCACAAGGCAAAGAAGTCCTGATCCCTCTGGGTCAACCACACAAAAATTAGGCTGGCCTTTGCCCTTTCATGGGACTCTCTGGTCCCATGAAAGGGCAACAAGCAACACGAGGCAGATCAAAGCTATCTTGGTGCACAGAGTCTTTCTGTTTGTAACAAACAGAGTTTCTTTTTGTTTGGCTTTTTCAGCCATTCAGCATGGACCAAGACTGGGATCTGCTGGACTCTGTGCCTCTGGGTAGATAAATGCTGCAGGCTCTCATTCCCCTTAACACACCAAACTCTTTCTGCTCCTGAAACATTTGTCGTATATCTCACAAGCGAAAACTGCCTGTGCAGAAGGAGAAAAAAATCTCCATTTAATTTAAAAATCCCACATTTGCTTTGAAGATATCCCACAAAGGTACAGAAGGCAACTGTGGGAGCATGGAAAGTTATCTCAGTTCAGTCCTTGATCTCATTTCAGTCCTCACCCACAAATTCCTCTCTAGTTGGCCTGGCAGAGGGCAGCCTAGACTCGGCTGTCCCCTGGAGACCATCTGGATTGATTTTTTCATAAATTCAAAGAAATGTGGGTGTGTTTTCTGAAGGAAGGAGAGGCGGAATGTCTGGACTGTTGGATCCCTCTGGGTAATTCAGACCTGATGCTGGGATTTCCGTGTATGAAGTTTGAGCACTGTATACGTTCCTCAACCATGAAATGAAATCAGACCGTTTATTTTGGATGCCTGCCACTGCCTTTGATTTCCGTGCACCCTGAGATGCCTGATCCAGCTGCTTTGTCTCCCTCAGGAGGACCAGCCCTCCCGCCCATGGCACCCCCCCTGCCAGTGCTGTCCCCAGAGTGACTGAGTTTGTGCCACGTGTGTTTTGCAGGCTCCAGGGCGTGCTCTCTACCTCCTGTGGGTGAACATCCTGGGGCCCTGGTTTACAGCTGAGTCCTCACCTGCTGCTCAGGAGCCCAACGAGAAGAAGCAGCGCCGACAGGAACGCCGACAGATGAAGCGCTTCTAGCCCTGGCTGAGGATAGATCAACACCCTCTCCCATCTCCATGCTGTTATTTCATCAGGGATGCGACCAAAACCAATCCAAAACCACCACAGCAGCTCTGTTGCCCTCTGTCACTGCTGCCATTCCGCCAGAAAGGCCGCAAGAGACTTCTCCTGGTTGGGTCTTAGTACGGGCTGAGGCCTTGCTCCTTGGGCTGACAAGGGGGTGATGCTGGCATGTGTGTAAATATCTTTTAAAGCAGCGCTGTATTGCGTTCAGCGTTGGGGAGTGCAGTGCTGGAGGAAATAGTACATTAAAGAGCAGAGTCTTAATTGATCGTGCTGGCAGTGAATTTGTGCAGGGGAGCTGTGAAAAGTGCCAGCATGTTCTTGGAGAGCTGGACCAGAAGGGAGCAGAAGCCCCAGAGCTAAGTGCTCCCCTCCTTTCCCAGGCTTGGTTTGTGCTGCCCTGCCTGCTACAGCCTCTGCACCCTGTGGAGAAACAGCAGCTGCCCTGCAGGATCAGGAGTGAAGGGGCAGCTGGGGATGCTGTGAGCAGGGCTTACAGCCAAACTTGGAGCTTTTGGGATTGAGCCTGCGTTCTTGGAGCCACAGATTGGCCTGTGCTACCTTTGGAGGAGCTCAGTGGGATGTATGCCAAGAAGCTGTGGGGTTTGTTTGGTTTGGGGTTTTTTTTTGTTTGGTTTTTTTCTTAAGAGGGTACTCCCAAGGCTGTCATGTCTGCTCCAGAGCTCATGTCTTAGAGACCAGGAACAGCTCGGGGCAGTTTTTATTTTTGCCTGCTTTGATTTACTGATCCCTGTCCAGTATGTTGTTTGTCACAGTCCATGACCCCTAACACCCCTAACCATGCAGCTTTGCCTGTATCAGCAAGAGGCACGGTGGGTGTTCACAGTGGTGCCAGCCTGGTTTTTGATGCTATCCACAACCTTTTGCCCACAAGTCTTTTCCATTGCATCACCTTTATTACACGCATTTTCCTAACATCAAGCCAAATCCCCACCCTGAGACCTCAAAGCCAGGCAGGGTGGCTGTAGTTGGGGTTCAGAGTTGGGCAGAGGTTGGTAATGGGGGATTAAAGTCCTTCCTGCTGCTGGTGGGGGGCATGAGGGAAGGGGTAGGGAGTGGAAAAGGCATCCTCGGGGCAATCTCTGGGCGCAGTCCAGCCCTTATTCCCTGCCAGGCACAGCCCAGAGCCCCCAGCCCTGTCTGCTGGCCCCAGGTAGGTGCCCCCGCAGTGCTGGGAGCACTCCTGGTACCCTACAGCAATCCCCCCATTGCAACTCCCCCAGCACAGCCTTCTGCACTCAGGGACCAGCACATCACCCCAACTCTGCCCCTGCTCTCCCTGAACCCTCCTTGGCTCCCCAGAGCCACGTGGAGCAGCACAGCCATCCCCAAAATACACAGGGACCATGTAGGGGACACATCAACACAACCACACGGGCCCTTGGCCGCGCTACCCTACACAGCAGTACATGCACAGCGCCCGCCTCGGGCTCTGCCCTCTGCTCCAGCCCCAATAAATACCCAATAAACAGCACCAGTTACACCCTTGGGGTGCTGCTTCAGGGGGTGCCCCTCAGTCAGGCAGCAGCTGCTCCAGCTCCTCCTCGTTCAGGCCATTGGTGGTGACAATGTGATCCAGCTGCTTCATGTACCGCTCCAGATCCTGCATGAAATGGGGGATGCGGGCCTTCTCCAGGACCCCAAATTTCTTCAGCCGATTCACATCTTCATAGGAGACCTGGCAGGAAGCACGGAGATGGGGTCAGTCCCCTCCACCCCAAACCGTGGCAGGTGTCATGGGGGGCATCTGGTCCCCCTGCAGTCCCCTTGGGTCAGTCAAAACTGCTGCTCGTGGGAGGCAGTAGGAGAGCTGTTGAGGCTGTGGGATTTGCAAGGATTTGTGGGTTTGGTAATTTTCGGTCACTGCAAGGACAGGTGACAGCAGGACTGCTGTGGCCAAGAGCCAGAAAGGCTTAACCTGCTGGGTTAAGCCTCTTCCCTAAAGTCTCCCACAGAGGATTATAGTTTGTCCCGTCCTTCCTTACATTCTACCCGGCACAGCCTTTCCCTGGTACACAGAGACCCAAAAGTGCAGGGAAAGACAAAGAGCTGCCACGAAAGGGCTGGTTTATGGGAAGCCATGAGATTGAGGGAGGCAATGTGAGTTCAAAGGAGCCCGTGTGAGCTTTGGGATGGGGTTGTGCCCCACTCTCACCCTGGCTATTACCTTTCCAAGTGCAGCCAGCAATGGGAAGTCGATGGTCTGCCGATGGCGCAGGATGCGGAGAATCCCGTCCAGGTACACCTGGTCCTTACTGAAACAGCCTGGAAGAGCAGAAAAGGCCTGGGAGAAGGCTCCTGGCTTCCCACCACCCCCCACTTGCCTGAATGTTTGCTGACCACAATAACCAGAATGAGGGCACTGCCCACGAGCTCAGGACCGCTGATCCCAAGGGATGAGCACTGGGGAGGCAGCCGGGTGCAGCTGCCTGGGATACCTTCCCCACTGGGATACTTTCACACTTCTTCCCAAATAATTTTTTTAAAGGGTAAATCACCGCAAACATCCAAATATATCCACAGGAATACTCATGTTTCCTCTCCTTTGCCTGCTGCTTCCCCAAGAGCTCGTGCAAGTTGCTCCTATGGGACAGGGAGAGTGGTGCTGGGGATGAGGAGGGATGTGGGGACTGGGTTCTGTGGCTGTGTTGGGAGGAAAGGGTTAAAAGCAAAACATTGATCTGGAGGATTGTAAATTGCTCAAGTGACCTTGCACCTGGGTGTAACTCTTGATAAGCTAGTGAACAGCAGGCCAGTGATCCTCTGATCTTGTATTCCTCTGTCTAGGTGTTGGGTGTTGCTCTGGGGATCCCCCAGGTAGCGAGGTAATGCAAATAAATTTACTTTTTGTGTTCTAGCCATGAGTTTGTGCCTATTCCAGCTGCCTATGCCAGCTCATACTCTACAGGACTGGTGATGCTCGACCTACACAGCAGCAGAAAATACCACGCTGTTTTTCTTTAAAAAAAAAAAAAAATAGAATTCTTCCCAAAACTCAATTCACACCCCCAAGTGGTACCTGGCTGTGAAGTGTCTGTCTGGCCCCGCTTTGCCCTCACACAGTACTCCCACCGGACACCAGCATCCTGCACATACTGCTCCAGGTCCTGGAAGAGGGCAGAGAAGGAGAGGCGGCTGGCCCTCTCGATGGTGTAGTAGAGCAGGGCTGCCCGCCACAGGAAGGGCTGCTTGCGGAACAGGACGCTGTGCAGGCTGGCCAAGCCCTCCTCCGTGGGGTTGGCAGGCTTCAGGCTGTACTGCTTGCGGCCCTCGGAGCTGTGCCAGGGCTGGCGGGTGTTGTTGACGCCCCGGATGTAGTGGGTGCCTGGGGAGAGGGGACAGGAGTGAATGTCACAGCATCCCCCGGCTCTGCCCCCGCCCACAGCCTCCCCAGCTGACCGATCTCGTGGCGCAGCATCCCCTCCAGCCAGTGCTGCCGGGCTCCGGCCAGGTTGATGGCCAGCGTGGGCCGGCTGTCCTCCACCATCATCACTGCTTGCGACAGGAGGTCATCGGTGAGCTGCACCACCACCTGCAGAAGAAGGAGGAGGCAAGGGCCATGAGCAGGGGCTTGGCTCTCGGCAGAGGCTGAGATGGTGGCAGATGGTCAGAAAAATCCACTGACACCACGGATGGCACCGTTTGGCATTGCTGCACCATCGCTGGGTTGTGCTGCAGCTCCTCAAAGGAATTACAGACAAGAGCCATTGGAGGTGGGGGGATAATGAAAGGAGAGAGATGATCTCATGCAGGGATGAAGTAGCTCCTTTAATCTCTTTACAGCCAACAAAGCTGAGCAGCACTGTGAGGGGAGCAGGCAGCTCCTGGGCAGCCTCCTCCAGCATCTCTCTGGCTCCAGCATCACCCTCCCTGGCTTATTCCCATGGGCTCCCCACACTTTTGTGGCCACACAGGACAGACATGCCCTGGAGACCTGCCCGGGCCCCCTTCTGCATCCCCACTGGCAACGGGATGGGGCAGTACCTTTGGTCATCAAAACAACCGCACTCAGAACACCCAACAGCACCAGCTTTGTAATGGCTCTGCACCCCCAATAAACATCTCCTGAGGGATCCAAGGCTCTGGCTCCATTTTCATGGACTCCTCCACGGATTCTCCCATTTGAGGCTTCAAGACATGAACAGTGAGGATGGCTCCATGCTAGCCCACCCTCACAGGAGGAACTGTGTGTGCTGGTCACAATTCAAAGCAAGGATGGGCATTGCATGTGTAGGACTATTCAGTATCTTTAAACAGAAAAAAATGGTATTTTGAGAAACTTGGCTAACACAGGTGCTGGAGCCAAGAGAGCTGCTCACCAGAAGTTAAAGTGCAAGCCAGCAGCACTTTCTGACCACCTGACTTCAGATCTGCAGCAACTCAAGGCTTCAGCATCACCAGAGGAGGATGGGAGCTCTTGCATCCAAGGTTTGGCAGTGGCAAGCCTCATGATAGCAATCAAAACATACCTATTAACTCTATAAATCATCTGTTATTTCATAACTGACACTTTTCAGGATGCCTGTGCCATGACAATTTTTCTTATTAAAAAAAAGAGAGGAGACTGAATTGGTTTGCTTTAAGTCAGATTTATTATTATTATGATGATGATGAAAGCCAAAAGTGCAGCCTAACAGAGTCCACCGCTGGGCAAACAAACAGCATAAAATACAGTGCAACTGCTTACCTGGGTTAAAATACACCAGTGTGAAAAGGAATCCCTCCAACGCTGAGACTTGTCAGTTCACCTCTGACTCCTCGTGCAGAACCAACCATCCAGGAGCAATGGAAAGGGACTCTGGGCAGTGCCAGAGACCACAGCTTCTTATGCTGCCCACTGCAGCCCTTCTCCTGCTACAAAAACCCATCCTGCTGAGCAGCACCACTTGCCTCGTTTTGGAACCCTCCAGCTTTGCAGATACAACCAGGGCTGCAACTCCAGCCAAAGAGCAGCAGCATCAGCTCTCCAGGTCTGTGACATCTCTCATCCTGAGCAGCATCCCCAGTGCATCCTTGTGGTTCATGGTTTTGCTCAGCTTTTGTGAATGCATTGATGGAGAAAGAGCTCATCCCAAGGAACCAAGGGAAGGCTTCTGCTGGTCCCCACGGCACTGGGGTAAGGTTTCCTGTCTCTCCCCAACAAGCTGGCACTGCTCAGGACTTCTGACATTGAGCAAGCAGCTCAGAAGTAGAGGGACACCATTGATAATATCCCAAGAGACATGAGCTAGCACTGTTTAGGCTGACAACACTCCACAACCCCAAGGATTGCCATGCAGCACTTACCAGTGGGGCCAGGTGTTTCTCTGCTGCAAGCTGGGAGCCCACTGAAATCCATATGGAAACCTCTGGCAGCATCATGTCTGTCCTACATCAGAAGAAAAGCAGAAGAGCTTCAGGATCTGCAGCTCAGACACCAACAAAGCAGCTTTTGAGGGCACAAATGTAATGACAGCATGAACACTTACCCAGGAGTACGCTGCCTGCGGTGCTGGAATGCAGGATCCTGCTTTTGCTGATCAGTGCTGGGGACAAAGGGCAGCTGCAGAGGTGCCACCAGCCTGGCCACGCTGCCTGCCAGCACCCCTGGGCAGGGACACACCAGCTGCTCGTGCTCTGGGCTAACACTACCCCCACACAAGTTTCTTCTCTTTTAGCAAGCCACCACGATTAGTACGTATCAGGGAAGCGAAGGGCACAGCAGAACAGACAGGGCACAGATGGTGAAAGTCAGGAATCAGAGATACAGGTGCAGGGAGGGAGATACAGCCTGAAACTGCCCAGTTCCTCGACAGGGTGTGAGATTATCAGTGATGCAGAAGTTTCCACAAGTTTTGGTCTTGGACAGGGAGCAAGCTCTGCCAAGATCACTGTACTGAGAGCAGGTGCAACCCTTCTCTCTTCCCTACCCCAAACACATCCATCAAAATTTCCACCGGATGGAAAGGAACAAACCAATGCTTTCATTGTTTTGATAAAAGCACTTACCAAAAGTACCAGATAAAACAGCCACACATGTGCAAACAGTGATTGAACCCTGCATTGCCTTGAATCACAGAATGTCCTGAGCTGGAAGGGACCCACAAGGTTCACCGAGTCCAACACCTAATAGCTCTTAGCACAGGGACGATTACACAGGGTTGGAAGGAAGCCAGTTGTACACCAATATGTAAGAAAATCAATGGCTTTCTGCCCAGCCAGGGCTCAATTAATGGAGAAGAGAGTAGCTGAATTTAAACAATTAATAAACTCGAGAGACAGAGCTCAACTAGCAAGTTATAAGTGCAGGTCTGTAAGACTGGCAGCTGCTTGGCTGGGTATTGTGGGTTTTGGGCACTCAAAGGCAGATGAATTACAGGGAAACATCTGCAAAAATCTGTTCTGTACCAAGCAAAGGCTTAGGAAGACCAGGGTGCCAAATCCACATCCCAGGAAAACCCTCAGGAGGCATCAGGGCAAACCAAGGGTGTCTGAGGAGAAAGGAATGTCCTTGGGCAGGAGGGACCTCAGGGGACCACTCATTCCTGCTTTTGCCTGCATGGAATGCACTGGGTACCACTGGGTGAGGTGGAGCTTTGGAGCAATGCTCAGCCATAACCCTCTTTGGAGACAGAGGTGAAAAATCAGAAGTAGGAAATAGAGTCTGGCCAAGAAGCAGTGGTGAGGAAGCCCCCACACCAGTTAGTACAGCACAGTTCCTGCCCTGCAGCCAACAGCTCCAGGGAGCCCTGCAAGCCAACCCACCCAGGTCCAGAAATCCTTCTCAGACCTCATACCCAGCAGGGTGGAAGTGTTTTGCCCACACCTTGCTGGCAGGAGGAGAAAAAAAAGCTCAATGGCAGCTGTAGGATGCCCCAATGCTGGATGCTGCAGAGGGTGCAGAGAAACTAGCTGAGGAGATGTTGAACTTCTCCCCTTGCTCCATCCCTCTCGGCTACTGCTGTATCTTAACCAGGTATTTCCCAGCCTTGAAACCCAGGCCTGGGGTTTCAAAGCACCATAACCTGCACGTCCTGAAGGATGGCAGGAAATGTCTTCCCCTGGCTTTGTTTTTGGACATGTGGGTTAAGGCAGCTAGCTGCCACAGAAGTCCACCCTCCCACTGCCAACAGCAAGAGACAACTTCCCAACATAATTGATGCCTCATGCACGCAGCAAAAGGCTCCTGGCATGGCCGTGCAGACAAGCAGCAGCTGCTCCCTCTCTTTCAAGCACAAAAGAGAGATACAAATGGAAAACATCACAGGAGGTTTGTGGGGAACCAGCACCCATGTCCTAAAGCCGGGGTATGGTGAAGCTGGAGGTGAAAGGACACCACTGCTCAGAGCAGAAAAGTTTCCTCTTTGTAACCAAAACATTTCTCAATCTGAGTCTTTTTATCAGAAAATCAATATTTTGCTGTGTTTTACGAGTGATAAAGCAGGGACACGGATTACCTCTCCTGCACAGCCTTCCTTCTGCATGTACTTTCGGATCACAGACCAGATCTGGCACTTGCTCAGCAGCCTCCCGCCTGTGGCCACCTCGAAGCTCTCGTAGGTCCCGTATTTCTCCAGGACAGCACGAATGATTCTGATGGCCTGTGGCAACAGAAAGTACAAACATAAGCACGAACACCTCCCTGCTTACAAATAAAATCTCACATGCAACAAATTCAATGAAGGTAACCCCTGATTAATGCCTCCAAAATACAGTGTGGTTTTGCACAATCTGAAAAACCAAGGAGACTGAGCCAGCTGGAGGTGGCCACCAGGACAGACAGACATTTCACACATTCAGCATGACCCACAGCATATTATTTCTGCTTTCTGTCACCCTTGCAGAAATGGGGCAAAGCAGAAATGAAACTGCTTTGTTGCAGTGTGGTTAAATCCATTGTTATTTTAAATCTTTTCTGCTTTCAGTTTTCCTTGCAAACTCCAGCGCTTGTACAAAGATCTCCAGCTTCTGAGCTTGCTTTTTACTCTCAGAGTTTCATACTCCAGGGCTGAATTCCAAGATCAGCAGTGAGGCTGTGCATCACACTCTGCAATGATGCTGCTTCAAACAGGGTCTCAGCAGCACTAGCCTGCTGTACACCCAGCAGCCTTCTAATAAATGCATCACATGCTCCATTATTCACATTAACATTTATGGAGCATCTATAAAATATGAACATTTATTAGCACATTTCCTCCCCAAAAACTATGCTTCCTTTGCAGACATTTTCAAGTAATTACTTTCTCCAGTCATTGAAATATATACTAATATATTAATATTATATTAATATTACATTAGTACATATTCCAAAGCAGACGACTTTCAACCAATTCTGTTTTTCCAGCAATTTTATTGCATCTGCAAACCTGACTGGGCTGCTGCCCAGCCTCCCAGCCCAGGACCAATTGCTGCCTTTCTCTAGTCCCTAGGGTTACCCAGGATCAGGTGCTCACCACCAGTACTGGTGCTCAAATCATCCAACACCCCATTAGACAGAGGAAATGGCCCAAGCTGTGCCAGGGGAGGTTTAGGTCAGACATTATAAAAAATGTCTTCATAGAAAAGGTTGTCAAGCAATGAAAGAGGCAGCCCAGGGCAGTGGTGGAATCACCATCCCTGGAGGTTATTTAAAAGATGTAAATGTGGCACTTGGGGATGTAGTTTAGTGGTGGGATTGGCAGTGCTTAAGTAATAGCTGGACTTGATCTTAAGGATCTTATCCCACCCAAATAATTCTGTGATCCTAAGAGGGGCTTTAGGTCTGCATCTGGTGAGCAACCTCCTCTATCCCTGCAGAAGGTCCTGATTTTCCTTTCCTGGGCGGTTTTTACAGCTGGTTTTTATTCTCAAGTCACTGTGTCTTTCCAGGAGAAGCTGTGCACAGTTTTTCTGTTGTCAGTTTTGTTCTCTGGGGGGTTGGGGTGGGGGTTTTTGGGGTTTTTTGCTTGGTTTGCTGAACAATCAGGCTCATTTTTACAGCACTGCAAGGTATCTTCAGCTGAGCACAGCAGAAAAAGGACCTTTCATCCTCCCACCTCTGCTCAGACACTTGCTCTCTCTCCTCCCAGGGGACCCAAATCACTGAGCCAAGAGAAATCCAGCACAGCTGGTGACCAGGAGGAAGACAACCAGGGAGCTCCTCCCCGACCTTCAGAGCACATCCTGGTGAGCAAAATTCCTGAGATTCCAAGTTTAATGTTCTGAGCATCCCCAGATCATGCACCCACCATATGCAGTGGGATAACAAATCCTCCAGCTCTGTGCTGGTGCCACTCAAATTGCCATGTGGCAAACTAGGTGATGAGCCTCCACAGGGTTGGAAGAATCCTCTTGGGCTTACTTAAGTTTCCTATTAAGAAAATAAAATAACCCCCCAAGCACATGCAGAGCAGCTGGAAGCAGGAAGGTGGTGTTGATTCGTCTGCTCACGTCCAAGGATGCTGACTTAGCAAAATGTCTTATTTATTTAATCTCCATGATTAATGAAAGTCTTTGAAAATAAAAGCAGTTTATAGCTAAGAGTTAGCTGACAGCAAAAAAATGCTTCCCAAAATAAAAGAGACTGGAAGGAGGTTACTGCAGGGTAAGAGCAGAGAAATGGTGTCATGAATACTGTCCCATTGGAGCGTCACCAGAAAACCTGGAGAAACTGGCAAAAACACTCAACACTTAATATCCCTTGCAAAAGCTTCCAGGATCCACAGTGGTTACAAACTTTAATTCCATTCATTCTAAGCACTGCCTAGAGAAAAATAATCTAAATTATTCATCTTTTACTCTGCTGCAAGCCAACTGCACCAAAGCAAAAAGCAGGGGATGAAAGAGCAACTCATTTTAGTGCACGACTCGGGGAATAAAATACAGGAGGGAAATGCCAAAAGCTGGTGAGGTCTTTGCAGGCGTCAGAGTGTCTCCCCTGCAAGAGCCTTGCTGGCACCAGTTTATCTGGGGCAGAGGTAGGACATACACTGGGAATGACAAACTGCTTAGAAAGCTGTTTACAGAAAGGACCTGAATCATCTGGATAATAATCCAGGTAGAGACATGGGCAGTGATGCAGGAATAAGTAAACATCCAAAAAACAATACATAAATCAGTGAAGAAGTTGTTATTGGAACAAGTAACTCCCGACTGAGAGGTGTAAAAAAACATCTCTGGTGTGCCAGTGTGAATCTGGGATTAGAGAGGGGTTTTATCTGCTCACTTGTTTGCATGGCAGAAAGGATGCTCTTCCTAGAGGTAGGATGCTCATTCCCAGGTGCAAACTGGTTTTGGGACATGGCCAGGCTCCCAGCTCCAAGTACAGGGTGAAGGGACAGAGCAGCTTTACTCCTGTATCCACAAAAGGCTTGTTTGTGGGCAGAGAACCCTGAAAGTACACTCTTGCCTCTTTTCTCCTGTTGAATGATCAGGAGCTGTTCTCTCAGTGCCATCCCCATGGCAGAGAGCAACTCAGAAGTGTTTCAGTAGTGTATAACCCACGGAAACAGTTAAGCAAAATAATACAGACTCCTAAAGTGGATTCTACACCAATTAATATCATTACTGACCACGTTTGCTGATGCCTTAAGGATGCTGCTGTACTGGCCAACCTTTAGGTCTTCCAGAAAACAAGCCAGACTTAACCAACAGATAATTCAGGCTAAGGACCACTTCCCATGCTGTCACCCATGTGCTCCAACTCGTTTGCTGTTATTTCTACAGCAACAAGTGCAAAAACATACCAGCAAGGTGTCCCTGATGGAGCACAGCTCCCAGCATAAGCAGGAACCAGTTTGACCATAGAAACACAGACTGGTTTGGGTGGAAAGGGACTAAATGATTTAAGATAATTTTGTCCCAATCCTCCTCCATGGGCTGGGACACTTTCCACTAGACCAGGATGCTCAAAGCCCCATCCAACCTGGCATCACCCAGCACCAGCATGACCCATGTCACCATGGAGCATTGACCATTCCTGCAGGTAGGTGAGGTTACTAAAACCTGAGGTTTAAGAAATCACAGGGTGAGTGTTCTGAAGACAAGATACAAAAGGTGTTAAGAGGAGGGGGATCAGGCAGTAGCTGGGAAGGAAAGAAGGCAAGGTTTCACGTGGACAAGGGAGAATGAGTTAAGTTGACTGAGGGTGGGTTTAAGCTATTTATTAGGAATAAATTCTTCCCTGTGAAGGTAACAAGACACTAGCACAGGTTGCCCAGAGAAGCTGTGGCTGCACCATCCCTGGAAATGTTCAAAGCCATGTTGAATAGGACTTGAAGCAACCGATCTAGTGGAAGATGTCACTGTCCATGGTAGGGTGTGGGGGGTAATTAGACGGTCTTTAAAATCCCTTCTAGCCCAAATCATTCCAGAATCCTATGACCATGGACCATCTCCTGCCCCACCAGGACACATCCCACACCCTCGCACCAGCCCACGGGCGAACTGGGGTCCCTCCTCCTCCTCCTTCCAGGCCGAGCATCCCTCCCCGGCCCCGCCTCACCTGAGCCACGAAGCGGTCGGAGGCGGCCCCGTACTTGTCCAGGACGGCGGCGGGCACCGGTTCCGCGTACTCGAACTGCGGGTCGTAGGCGAAGCTGGCGCGGAAGAACCGCTCCCGCTCCGCCTCCACGTTCCGCGGCCGCAGCGCCACGAGCAGGCAGGGGCTGCGCCGCCCGCCGCCCTCCTCCCCGCGGCCCCGCGCGATGTGCGGCAGCGAGGCGGCGGCCCGCAGCCCCCCGCGCCCCGCCGCGCCCTCGCTCCGCCGCGTCCCGGCCCCGGTTTCGGAGAGGCGGCGGGTCCCCCGCGGGCAGCGCGGCGCGGAGGGCATGGACAGAGCGGAGCGCCATGGCCCGGCCCGCCGGCCGCCCCCGAGCCCGCGGCCCCCGATCCCATCGCCCCCGAGCCCGCGGCCGCGGCCTCCAGCGCGGCGGCACCGGGGCTGCGCCGGCTCCGCGCCCCGCCCCGCCGCCCCGAGCACGCGCCGCCACCCGCCAATCAGCGCCGCTCCTGGCGCGCCGCGGCCAATGAGAGGAGAGCGCGGAGGGAGAGCCCCGCCCCTCTCCGCTCCGCCCCGCCCAGCTCCGCGGCGGCAGAGGCGCGCCCGGCCCCGCGCGCTGCGCTCCGCAACGGGGTTGGGGCCAGCCCCGGCAGCACCGCCAGCCCCGGCAGCACCGCCAACCCCGGCACCACCACCAACCCCAGGAGCAGCAGCAGCCCCGGCAATATCGCCAGGCCCGGAGGCACAGCCGGTTGCACAGCTTGTGCCGGCTGCCTTGCTGCCTCAGTTGCATGGCCAACCCCCACTGTGTCAACGCATTTTTATTGCCACCCCTGGCTGCATCGCCAGTCTCAAGCTGCCTCGCCACTCTGTTTGCATCTCCAGCCTTGGTTGCATTGCCACCCCTAGTTGTGTCACCAACCCCAGCTGCATCACCATCCCCCAGTTGCGTCACCGGTCCCAGCTGCATTTCCAAGGCCAGTTATAGTTCCATCCCAGTTGCTCTGCCAGCACCAGTTGCATCATGCTCCAGTAGAACCACCAACCTTGGTTATGTCACCAACCCCAACCGCATTGTTACCCACAACATGTTGCCAGCCTTGGTCGCATCACCAACCCCAGCCACATCATTTGCCTTGTGGTTTTTCCCAAAGCCCTGTCTCCTGGAGTGCCTGAAGGCAGCAAGCACCTCACTTTCTGATTATGGCTGGCTTCACCATCCAGCTCTGAAGGACAAGGCAGGCTCAGCATATAGAAGCAAAGTGTGTTTATTATTTTGTAAGTCTGCTGATTTTGAGTTGGCCTTGCCCAAGGAGCCTAGCTCACTGCTCTGTAAGCCATGACTACTGTGCTACCCCCATGCTACTACCTCTGTGACCACCTGGTAAGTCAGAGCCTGCTCTTGTTATGTGAGTTGCTCTGTCCCAAGTGAGCAGAAGCTATGGCACCACAGGTCCACAGCCTCTAAAGTGTCTAAAAATGGCTTGCTAGTGACGAGGGCTTGTGCATATGCTGGAATTCACAAGTGTGATGTTAATGAGCTGGCAGCATGGTTAATTATCCACCCGCTGGTGGGAAGTGACAAGCCTCTGAAGTAAAATTAATCACCATTCCTGAAAGAAGAACCAACCAGTGTGGAAGTGGGTGCCAGCCCATCCACCTGAGTTGTTGGTCTTGCTCACTTTCCTTCCAAACTCAGCTCCAAGTCCTTTGCTCCCCTGCATGTCAGTTTGTGGCACCTACCATCATGAAGGGAAGCTGGCCCTCCCTCCTTCAGTTTTTTTTAGGCTCCTTTAGGACCTTGTATTCACGTAGGAACTTCCTCAACTTCCCAGCCTCTGGGCTGGATCTCGCCTGCCCTGGCTCCCCCTGCTCCTCTTTGCTCCCCAGCAGGATTTCATTGATATAACTGAGTGTCAGGTTGCTGAAGACCATGTTGAAGTGGTGGGCACCTCGCAGCTCCTGGACGTAGACCTTCTGCTTTTGTTGGTCACGCCATCGCTTGCACAGCTCCAAGCTGCGTGTGTTGACACTGTCATCCCCGTCACCATAAATTATGTCCACAGGGTCCTCATAAGGGAAACGCTCATCATAAATGTAAGTCTCTGCAGTGGGGAAGCCTGTGCCATAGAGGCAATACGTGTCCACTCCAGGAGGGGGCAAATCCTTCAACAAGTCTTTCATGTCCTCCCACATGTACCAGCCATCCTCCAGGTTGACGTCGGTGAAGAAGCGCTGGTAGTCGCGGTAGGTGTAGTTGTAGGAGGGTGTAGAGATGAAGACGTGGCTCTCGGGCCAGGCCAGCGTCGTGGGGAACATCCAGGGGCTGGTGGTGGTCATGCGCTGCTCTTCACGGAGCTTGATGTTGGACATGAGTGGGATGCCCTGCTCATCACCTGCAGGACACACAAGGGCTCAGCACAAATGACACCACAATGTCCCCTCACAGACTTCAGGAGCCTTTGAGCAGCTGGGATCAGCCCTCCCTGCAGTGACTCACCACTGTCCCCTGGCTTTCTCCAGCTCAGCTCTACCCTGACCATAGCCTTATGCCCTCTCCTTACCCCCCTGCCTGTAGATATCAAGGACAGCCTTCCAAACTCCTCTCCACATCTCTAGCTGTGGGAATTGCATGTACAGAGAGCTCTCAGGCTCAGAGATAGAGATGGATACAATGTTTGACCTAAGGCCTTGGAGAAAGCCTGGAGAATTAGAGCATTCAAAGTAAAATAGACATAAAACAAGCATATAAGTTTGTAGTTTAAGTAGAAATATGCTTTAAACATACAGAGATATGTAGTATGTAACCAAAGCAGTATGTTAAGTAAGTGAGTAAAGGATTTTAAAGTTTAGCAATAGAACTTGTTATGAAGTTAGTTAGAAGCTTGAGATGTATCAATGTAGGTTTGTGAAGTGTTACGTGATTGGTTAAAAAATGGCACATTGTGGCAAAGCCACGAAAAACAAAGAAATTAATGATTGGTGTAAAAAGAGGCTACCGAGTTTCATGAAAGTATGTGATTGGCTATAAAACTAACATAAGGCACTGTAACTAAGAATTAGACAGCTTCTGATATTATGGCGTAAAATGTAACACCTTTAATGTCTCACCTTTCTATGAGACTGACACCATGAGGCAATAAACCATCTTTTAAAAAGTCTGTTAGTTGCCCTGTTTCTCGTGTTTTTGATCTCCCGATATTTAGCTACTCAGAGGGCCTGAGTGGAGACAAACCTGGATGTCTGGTGGCACAGACCAACACAGCCCTGGACATTCCCTGCAACCCTGCCTGCAGGGACAGGAGTGAGCAGTAGTAGGAAACAACTTGCATGTTTCCTTCAAGCCTTGGCATTTTTGGTATGTCTGGAGTCCTAAGACATTGGAATGACCTCAGATGACCTTAAAAATATCTCTGGGTCTTGTGGCAACAGAGAAAAATATAAGCAGGTGACTTAAGGGTGATGCAAGGGGCCAGATGTTAAAACCTTCAAGCACATGATTTTTAATCTCATGCATTTTTGGACTTGTGACTTGCAGATATTCTGGGCTGTCAGCATTAGGCAAGTGATTGTGGCTTTCTGGGCTGCAAGGAGGCTAAACAGGAACTGAGTCCCCCACCTCTTTCACCACTGTGCCCTTTCCCTGCCCACCACCACCCTTCCATTTCTGCAGGAGGGAAAGAAAACAAATAAGTGGCCGCACACAAGGAGTCACCCACCAGATGCCAGGATACGCAGGGGCTTGACAGAGCCTCCCCAGGGGGCACCCAGGGAAATGAACCCCCCAATGTACTGATCTTTCCAGGCTTGGGTCTGCTGCAGCAGGAAGTAGAGGACGTGCAGGTTGCCCATGCTGTGTGCAATGAGGAAGACAGGTCTCTGGTACTCATCGTGCATCTCCTCAATCAGTGCCTTCAGGTTCTGGAAGTATTCGGGCTGCTCCTCTGTGGGCAAGAGGGGAGCATGACAGCATGAGGGTCATCCTGCTTCCCTCTGTGCATGGGGGGCCTGGCCACAACCCCCAGACTTACGGGGTCCAACCCTCCAGTCGTAGGGGGCTGCCCGAACTGTCTGGTCCCTCACGTAGCCGTTGTTCACCAGGTTCTGCACCATGGTGTGCAGGTAGCCTGTGGGCAGAGGGAACAAGAGGGAATTAGCTCTATGGTCTTCTCTTGTCAAGCTTTTTCCATTCTGGTAGTGGTCATGGTCAAAATGTTCCCTGGTAAGCCCTGTAGCTCCAGCCAGTAGTGACTCTGTGCATCCCACTGAGCACTGGGGTCAAGGATGGGGTGCTCCCTGCCGGCACTCAACTGGAGTGTGTCCCTCAGGCTAATGACCCTCAGTCCCAGTGCTCTGGGCTCTCTGTAGAACCAGTCCCTGCTGGAGACATGGGTACACATCCCCATTTGCAGGGAGCACATGGGATCCCCACACACTCTGGCCTCTCCCCCTCTCACCTGCCAGCTTGCTCTGATCCAGGTACTCCACAGAATAGGTCTTGCCAAAGCCAGGAACACGGATGTGCACCCCTGGGGCGTTGGACATTTTCCGAGAGGTTCGGTTGTACACCACCCTGTGGGGACAGGACACGAGGTGGCAGAAGAGCCATGTCCCCTTGGGGAACATGGGGCTGGGGTGGAGATCACTGCGTAGCAGCTTGGACCTGGCTGTTTCCAAGCCTTGTATGGATGTGAGGTGCACTGGAGCCCAACCAGTGTCCATTCTGCTCTCCTGGCATCCTGGGACAGGAGGCTCTGATGGAACCAGCTGCCACAGCCCCCTCACCCTGCACTCCCCTCTCCAGTGGGTACTCGGGGAGGTCCAGCTGAGCTTGAGCACATGGCAGGGACTTGGGACAGGGACAGATTCTCAGAGCAGTAGCCAGTCACTTGAGTTCCCAAACAATCCCATGGTACTCCTATTTTTTTTCCATGTGTGCTAGCTCATGGCCAGGGGAAGGAGAGGGAAGGGAGATCCTTGGTAGGTCATTTCCCCAGGGAGCTCCCAGGGTAGGGTTGGATGGTACCTGGTGTTATCAATCCAGCAATCAACTCCCACTGGCAGGAAGGTGTTGAGGTTGAGCCAGATGGTGAAATAATCCTCTGTTTTGCGGTAGCACATCCAGTTCACCACATCTGGCTTGTCCAGCTTTGCTTCCAGCTGGTTCCCAAGACAGCCGGGCACTGGAGGCACCACAGAGGGAGAGCAGAGCCAGTTACAAACCTCATCCTACTGACCCTCTAGGGCTGCCCAACCTGGTGCTTACCCCATCCTCAGGCAGTCCTCCCCTGGGGTTTCCTGGGGGTGGGTGGGCACCTGCTGGAGCAGCATCTTTGGAGAACAACCCACTCTGCACGGGAGAGAGGGTGCTTGGAGCTGAGATGCTGGGTGAGCATGAAAACAGTGCTAAAATGCATCCTTGGGAACCCCTAGAGCTGCATTTCGGTGGGGTGACCCCCAGAGCTGTCACCTTGGGCTCAAATATGTGAGTCCCCAGCAGCACAAAGTATCTCAGATTAGTCCCCCTCCCTCCATGGGTTTCCACCCTCCTCTCCTTGCTGCAGCCTGGGGGAAGAATCTGGTGCTTCTTGGGGCTGCCCCCTCCTAATGCAGTCCTGACAACTTGTCCTGGGGTAGTAGTCAGTTCAGGGATGCAAAGCTACCAGAGAGAGCTTCCTGAACTTTAAACCCTTCATACAAGCTGAACAAGGTCTCTGAAGTGGTTCAGTGCTGTGTGGAACTGAACTCTGTGGAAATTCAGTGGGATTGGTGTATGTGGGAAACACAGCACAGCTTTAAGCAAGTTCATCTGTGTGCCCTGGCCTTTCTCAATGGAGGGCCACAGTCACCAGGGTGTTTGGTCTGCCTCTGGAAGCGTCAGTGTGGCTCTCAGCTGGGATGGGACACCCATCCTGCTGCTACCCTGAGAGATGTGCCTGTGCTGGGATCAGACACCATAGAGAGCTTTCCCAGCTGAGGTCCTGGTGCCAGAACTGACTGCGAGAGTGAGGACAAGAGGTGAATGACTGCAGGGGACAGTGAACCTGGTGGAATGGGAGCACCAGGTGACAAATC